AGTTTGTACCTTGGTTTACAGAGCATGGGTTGTTAGATTCTGCTGAACAATCAGTGCATAAACCTTTCTCTTCCTCGGTACCTGGAGTTGTGGAAGCACTACAATCATCTTCACAAGCTATTGCAGGAAGAGGAATTTCATAGGCATAAAGCACACCAGCTAAGGCTGTGCGGATCTTCTGCATATCAGTTGGTAAGCTCTGTCAAGCATCAAAATTTATAATATTATTATAATGATATCATTGGTTGAAACCAACTACTTTGTACAACAAAAGGCAATCATGATTCATTATGGTCTACATTAGGCTTGCTCATTTTGTCTCATAAGAGTCCCATGGTAATTATTGACCACAATGCAGCCACACAACCAACAGTGTTTCCTAGGCAACCATAATATTGCTTAAGTCCTGCACAGTAAATTGACACCACTGCTGGATGAAGACCAGCAATACGTGGTCCAGCCATTGCAATCAATAACAAAGTGACAATAATACTGTGAGAGAAACAGCTAATACCATTTTTGTGTGTGCACGAGCTACAGATTAGCTTGGTTCTGACTGTTTGTGTTTGTTTACATCATGTGATTTGTATTTTACCCTGACAGAAGCTCCAAATATTTCAACCAGAAGAAGCTGTGAAGAGACAAGGCCACAGTACTTTGACAATTCTCTCTTGACGGCTTTGTATCTGTCGTCGTTATTGAGAAGCAAACCATACTTTGTAGGAGTGGAGCCCTCAAGGTGGACAACTATACAAACAAACAAACAAATGTAAACAATAAAAACAGCTCCTAAAGCAACATAAAGGTTTCAAATCAGATACTAAAAATCGCTACTAAATACAAACATTAAGGACACATAGATACAAGGTTAGCCTCAACCAAAGAAAAATCAATATTCACAAATGTCGGCTGACATTTAAAAATGAACAGTAGAACAGTCAACTCTTTATAAGACGAGCCTCTTTGGGACCTGCTTTATATATCCGTCTTATATAGTGATGTCCGTTTTATATAGAGTAACCTAAAAGGAGTAAAGAAAGGAAGGGACCAACTTTAGGTGTCCATTTTACAGAGGCGTCCGTCATATAGAGGGGTTCATTACAAGAGAGTTAACTATAGTGGTAGTCTAGGACAATGGTCAAGAGTCCAGTCACGTCATCTTCAAACAAAATCATCACCTAAGACAAGGAAAAAGTAACCACGGGCAGGTGAAATTTGAGGGTTGCTTGCGCAAAAGGCTCAGCTGAAAGTCAAGTTTTTTTTAGCCCAGGAATGGGTAAGTACAGTGGAACTCCATTAATACGGTCACCAATGGGCCAAAAAATTTGGCTGTAATAACAAGGTGACCGCATTAACCAGGGTTTCTTTACAAGAAAATGTATGGTCGTTTTTGCCAGGCGGCAAAAAAGAAAATGGCCATACTAAAAAGATAGCCATAAGGCGGGGTTCCACTGTATGTACAAAATACACTCACCAATAACTTCCACATAACTTGAATTGTCCATAGGAAGGGGTAAGGAGAGGAATGTGAATGGATCAAACCTCACACTGACATAACCACACTCTAAGCATCTGACTTGAGACTTGAGCTGTAATAAACAATAGGATGAATGCAAATGAAGTTAACTCTCAGCTGAATTCCAAACTGAACTTTTGCATTAATTATTCGATTTTATAACCATGCTCATGGAAGGATTAAACATTACCTGCCCTTGAAACAGGTCCACAATGACAGACTGATTTCTTTTGAGATGGTTATCCCAAGCCTAAAGTCAATCACAAATGGCTGTGTTAACAACACTCACTGACCCCACAAAACAAGTTAGTACAAGTTTCAAATGTTTGGTTACTTAAACTTGCCGAAGTAACTTGACATGGTTAGTACAATTACTGTTAAATAAGTAGTTTAATTCATAGAAATTCTTCTTGCAAATGAATATTAATTTTTAGAAAAGACTAATGCATTTCATTTTTATATAAGATTGTTTTCTATCTTGAAATATATGTTGTTTTACAAGATATGCTTACAGCATAGTCAAACAACATGAAAAAAGCACATTTCACAGAACTCAAGGTGACTGGAGGTAACCAGGCTTGTGTTGGATAGGGACTGATCTGGACACAATCTTAATATACCTCCAGCATCTTGTTTTTTGCATCATTTGGAAGTCGATTATTTTTGCAATCTGTTTATTATACAGATCAGATGCAGAGACCCCTTGACAGTTTTTCCGAAAATTAATGGTTGCCACCCAAAATTTGTGGAGAGGAAATGGAAGATCGAGGAAACCAACAAAGAACAAGTGCCGGCGGTTTCAAACACTACGAAAGGCTTTCTAAAGTGATACAAAGAAAAGTGACAACAAGAAGGAGGAACTCTTCGCAAAGAATTGAAAAATGAATTCACCTAGTTGCAGTTTGGTGAGTCTAAACAATGTTTTGAACCAATCCATCCAAAAATTTGCCGCATTTACCAGCAAAATTTCCAAAAGTTAATATATTGTAAGTTCAAGAACAGATTCTTGGAAAATTAGCTTTATAATTTGGTTAGTAAAATTTATGGCCACTAAAGGGTTAGTTATCCAAAACGTTAATTTCAAGCCTTGTCTGACTGACCTCAGATCACTCATCCGGATCTGGATCATCCAAACGGAACACACCCTCATGTTTAGCCTCTGGGTATTCTTTTGCTTGTTGCAGATCATGACAGAAATTTTCGAAAAAAAATACTACACATGGTAATTGAAATTAGTTTGGACAATGTTTACAAGAGCAATATATAAAGATTTTATTTCAATGGCAAAGCTTGTCATACCTCATGTGCTACTTCTTCATCTGGTCTTCCATCACTATCCTTTAGTTCAACGTAAGGCTTGAGATGTACTCTGCAATCACATGACACAGCAAAAATCACTTACAGTACCAAGAATAGTGCACAAAGTTTCCACACTGATTTCTGTATACTCACAATCACTTGATGCTTCCTTGTAAACATCCATTTAGAGAGTCACGTACTGTAACCCTACAATACACCTACAGTAACCTTATTCTCCTCTAATGCAAGTTTGCACAAAGTTCTAAGACATTTAGAGAAGGAGGTTCTAAAACCAAACTTCACTAAGTGATGTGTAAGACAAAAATGGATATCCAGTGGGATGAACATCAGTTATGTTGCTATCCTTAAACGGAATATGGATAATTTTACTTTCTTGCATTACACAGGAAAGAAGCAGCAAAGCAACCTCACCTGTTTAAGTCCTCGTGTAAACCATCCAAAAGAAATGAAAGAAATTCCTTCCAAAACAAAAGCACCAAATAAATTTCAGAATTTTGAACAAAAATTACAGCCACAAATCAACAACATGAATGCGGTGGCCATATACAGATAGAGAAGTGGAAATTAACCACATTCAGTTTGACACTAGTGTCAGAAATTATAGCAAACATTTTGAGACACCACCACTGGTTACCCTACAAAATAACAACAAAGGAGTTAGTGCAGACATTCGATACTAATGATATGTCACTACCCCAATCTGGGTAGAGCTTGTTCAGGGTCCATCCAAAAAATTGCAACCATTTTTTAAGGACTTTTCAAGGACCACCTACCAGGAATGTAATTTCGCAGATCGTACAAAAATGCACATTCCCAGTCTATTCTATCAGGATTTTAAGGCTTGAACTGTTTGCTTCACTAACTTCTGACATTTTTCGGTTCACTTGTCTTAAATTGATAGTTAACTATTGCACAAAACAAAGAAAGCTGTAAGCAAATCACCATTAACTTCTCTGAGCTAATATTTAAATTCTGTCTTTGACAACCAAAAAGCATCAAAAAATACTTTTCAGGCCACTTAATTCAAAGTTGAAGAAAATTCGAGGACTCTTCAAAGAGATTGAAAAGAAATTTAGGACCTTTCGGGAAAAATGGAATCCAAGGACTTTTCAAGACTGTGTGAACCCTGTTGTTCCACAGACGTCATTTTGCTGTGAAACAAATCGTGGAGTCACAAAATGTTGGTTCTTTTCTCAGGCTAATTTGACACCTTCTGAGCTACCGAATGGGAATGAACAAGGGAGAAACAGAGGGCAAATTGCTTCAATTGCTATGTTGTTATGTTGCTTGATTACCAACCTGTGAATCATGTTGTTGAAATCCATTAAATCTTGGTGCATATCTCCCTATTGTCCACTACAAGAGAAAAAAAATTGAATTTGCTTTTATTATCGTTCTTAGGCCCACAACAGATTACAAAATAAAAATTAGTAATACAAGAATTTTTTCCAAGACTGCCACTCACCCTCAGTTTCAGTGGTGCTAAGCTGCGAGAACTGCCACTCCACAAGTCTTGGGCAAGGTCGCCATAACGACGTGCTATGTGGCCTTTCATGCCCAGGGGATTTGTCCTACAAAAATGAAACACCGAATTATACTATGCACCTCTTTTCCTTGTCTAAAAACTTTGGAACGTAATCAAATGCACATATGTAAATGTACAATGTATGTAAGGCACTTGTAAGTAAACTTAACCACTTTTGTTATTGACAATAATAAATGCTATCAACATCGACGATCCCCGGAATTTGCAGGACATGTATGTCTACAAATGAGCCAGGAATTCACCACGATCTTCAGAACTGACAATACTGTAGCAGACTACAGGACATACGTCCCACCAGGCTTTTAGCCAGGCATTGAAAACTGGCCGTTCAGAAGGTATGTTTTCCCATAAAATTATAAGATATTAATTGAATTTTCCTTGTATTTCTTCAAAAAATGGGCGTCCATAGGATGGCTGGACACCCTTCAGGCTAAAACTTTGCATTCCACATGACCTTAGAGTTCACTGAAAAATTTAAGCGTTTTAACAAGCAAATTAAAAAACTAAAACTAAAAATAAATCCAAGCATGTCAGTTTATATTCCTGCTTACTCACCTATTAAGTTCATATAAATGGCATTTGGCAGTAAAGTACTGGGTGAGAGGCTGGGTATTGCTGAGACACTGTAGTGCTGAGTTCATGAAGCATGTGTTACCCAAGTTGCTAAGGCCAGTTGCTCCTTTTTCTGTAGGTTCTACAATGAGAAATAGCACTCGGCACTGAATTTGTGTGTAAGCTGCCCATGGTGTTCACCACCTAGATTTGACATTTTTTCTTCAAAGTTGTAACAAGCGTTAAAATGGGGACTATTCTTGTTAATATTCCTCTCTTGAAAGAAATGAAACATGGTAAATTTTAAGCTCAGTGAAACAAATGTGAAAATGAAATAATCAGCATGTCATGAGAGTGGGACAAAGAAAACATCTGAGTCCCCGACAGGATTCAAACCTATGACCTTCCAACCACTGGGCGGGCGCTCTATCCACTTGAGCTATGGAGAACTCATGGAGAGCGAGGTCGTATACTAGGTTCATATTTGACACGCAGTGGCGACGGCAATGAGTACATCAAAAAAGCAATAGGATTAATATGCAAAACAATAACCCTGATACATTTATTTGCCATCACTGCATGACTAAAAGACTATGACATGAAAATGTCTATTTCCATGTTTTACAGAGGATGTGCATGCCTGACAAAATTGTATTTCTTTTTCTGAACTTGGATATGGTTGTGAGGAATTCAACTCCAGGGAACTTTGCCTACATTTGACAAAGAAGGTGAGATGGAATAATCACTATGAAGATTGAAAGAATGCACATTTACTTTTTAAGCGACCTTTTTGCTGGGGTCACTGTCCTTGGATCTTATTGTCCCTAATGTAGATGATAATACACATAAATTAACCCATAGGTTGTTTGCCCCTACCTAGATTAAGCTTTTCTCTTAGACTTCTATTATTTGCCAAGGAGGACATCTCTTCTGGCCAACTCATGTCCCTGTTGCGAACTGCATAAGAACAAAAAACGGTGAAAAATCGTAGCATCAAAGATACATTAACATTACAAATCCAATATTTGTATTAATGGCAACAACATTCATTTTAACAGCAGTGTTAATAACAATGCAGGATCAAGAGCCTTTCGTTACCATGGCCTTTTTAAGAAGGTTAATCAAATCTAGACAAGGTATTAAGTACATGGTTAGGCCAATGGTTTCTTGTAGAGCTTTTTTGATTTTCATTTTCTCACATTAAAGATAGTGTATATATTTAACAGCTACAATTTTTTTGGAAACACAACTATAAATTATTACATAATTTCCCCACGCACAAATAGCCCAGGAACCAATGGAGGTTGAGGGGGAAATATATAAATCTACATTACATAGTTCAATTATTAGAGAGACTCACACTAAAATAATTATTTGAATATAGTATATACCAACTAAGCTACATTTTTCACAACCATTTTTGTAACGAACCTTCAATCAGTACAGGATGGTTGTCCTTGATTTCCAACTTCTCTAAAGAAGAACTGTCTTCCTCTAATAATCTTAATTTAGTCTGTTAATGAAAACAATGTACAGCTCATTATTGTTTAAATACTACTAGAAAGTAATGATGAGTCATTGGAATCATTATCATTCTCCTGTCAGCTACATGAAGTGTCAAAACCTTGAATTGAAGTACACAAGTACACGTATTACAGTGAATCTTGTGTTAGCTGACCCCATACTAAGTGAACACCCTGAATTAAGCGGACAGGAGTGTCAATGAGATAAAAAGGTTTCTTTTTGCAATACTCTGTACGACAAACCTCTACTTGACGGAAACCTCCACAAAGTGAACAGTATAGAGTCCTGTGTGAGTCGACTTAATACAAGTTTTGCTGTAACACAGGTGGTGTAGTTAATGCTCTAAAGTCAACTTATGTTAAGAGCCCAACTTTTCATGTCTATGGGGTTACAGAGAGTCGTTTACCTCCACTTTTTTCCCACTTTAAGATGAAGAGGGCAAAAAATCATAGCATGCATACCTCATCTTCCATACTCCAAAGACGCATATCTTCATTTCGAATTCTAAGGCGTGCACAAAGATAGTCATACACCTAGAACAAAGCCAATAAAAGCATGAACAAACTAACATAGATCTAGTAACTTTTACTCAGCAACAGAATTTTTTGTTGGTAGTACTAGACAAAACTGTTCTATAGAATAAATAATTCCTGTGAGTTGCTCTATTACTGCAATTCAAAGGGCAAAGAACATAAATAACTAATGACTGTTCTGCAAATATCTAAATGTAGTAACTGTTAGACTTAATTGGACTAAATTTGTACCAATCACCTGGCCCTGGTTGTTCAAACATTGGCTGGCCCTAACCCCTGATTAACCAACTGCCTCGCTTAAGTGGGAGGTGGGTGCCTGGGATACCCAGGGACTACCACTGTGGCCAGCCAGCCCTTAGACAGAATACTGCCCATGGCTGGCAAAGCCCCGCAACCCAGCAATAATCCTCCATTGCAGGCACCCATCATACTGATGAAACAGTGGAAGGAAGAAAAACAAGGGATGGGAAGGCAGGGGGACGCTAAATGAACCACTCCACAGACCACTGCACAAATGCTCAAGGAAGAACTCACAGATCCTAGCAGTGTACAAAGCTACCACATACCATGTTAGCCTGCACTTATGAGATTGACCGCTGGATACCCGCTAAGCTTGTGGACCCTCTTGACTGCTAAGCTCGTGAACCGCTTTGACTGCTAAGCTCATGGTGGTTAACTCAATTAAATTACATTTAACCGAATTAAATCACTAAATCCAGTGGATAAGTATTAGGGAAACCAATTGCACTATCCACTGGGTAGATAATTATCCAGTGGATGGCATTATCCACCTTTAGAACAACTGGATCCTGGAGGTTAAGAGCTCAGAATTTTTTCTGTGCTTTCAGGTTATAAAATTCTCTTTCTTCTTTTATTACGAGATTTTAATATGTTAAAAGGTTAATAATACATTTATTTCCCAACAAGAAATTATTTTTCCCATAATGATCAACTGAACATTTTCCATAATAAATTATTGCGTTGGTTAAAGATTTTGATCAGTGATCGGCACACCAATCAAATTTAACTTCAGATAAACTAACATCAGTAACCATTTGTCTAACCTGCTGTATAGTGTTCATTCGACTAAATGATGCCACATAGGCGAGATATCTCTTGGGTGGAGCATGGGGAGTGGCTAGAGAATTGGCACCAAATCCAAAGCTACTTAATCCAAAGCCGACTCCTGTCCATGTCGTGATTCCACCACGAGTTGGAGGGGGAGAGTGTCGGAATAGCCTCAAGCTGATGGGATATAGTTCTAATTCAGGTGTTGGGTCACCATTTGTAGGATTAATCACCTGGGAACAAACAATGAAAATACCAATCTATATTAATTTTCTCCTCACAACAATGACTTTGACTATAAGCGGACCCATAAAAAAAAAATTAGAATAATAGGAATAATATGGAGAACTTAGGTAAACAAGTAAAGCGATGAACCACAGGTTAAAACTAAATATAAAATACAGTTGCACCTCTCCACAATGGCTACCTGGGGGACAGAAGAAAGTGGCTGTTGTAGAGAGGTTTAAACAAGAATAAATGTACAGACTGTCCGCCAAAAACAGTGGCCATTGGAGAGAGGTGGCCACTGTGGAGAGGTGGCTGCTAGTGGAGGTTCGACTGTAGTACACTAACAGGTTTATTGTTCCACAATAATTGAGTCACTTAAGGTATTCGATCAGTGATAGATGTTATTGATGATCGGCTTACCACCATATTCAAGACTCCAAAACTGCCAAAATTTTCTAAAGAAATGTAAGCCAGGAGACCATGCTTGCTCCCTGGGATACATTAATTCATGAATTTAGGCGGTTGTAAAAGGGACCTTACAGGTCTACTGAATTCAGCAGAATGAATCAAAGTAGACATCTTTTATTTCAATAGACTGTAACTTCATTTCTGTGAACAAGGGTACCCAAGCCTTGAACTCATTTCATTGAGCACTCACTGAAGCTGAATGCTGGAAGGTCTATACAAAGCATTGAACAGTACAATTTTGAATGACAGTGGGAAAAGGGTTCATTTGCTTGACATCATAAATTAATTAGTACCGTTCTTGGTAGAGCAGGTCCTCCTCCATACCACTGTTGCAGTGCTCTCCATACAGGTTCAGGGATGATCTCAAAGTCACGGCCTCTGACCAATGGAATGTTACGTTTTAATTTGCCTCCTTCACCTGTTAGGATCATCACCTGTTTGAAATTCAAAAAATAAAATAGAAAGAAAGGTAACTGTAAATGCACTTCTATGCTGCTGGTCCTGTTGTGGCGGTTCTATTTACGACATACAATGTATTTTACAAAATTGAAGGGGTGCTTGGAAAAAAGCCCCAGGTGACTTCTGTGAACTGATGCCCCTCTGATTGTCTGTTCAGATTGCCTTGTACTTATATGTGAAACAAAAGATTATTTGAAGTCACATCAAGAATCATTCAGCCCTCTAAATGTGTTCTGAACATGCAGCCCTTCCAATGTGCATGTACTGAAAAAAGAGTAGCACTGTTGTCTACTATAGCTTAGACAACTACAAAACAATGATCTTATTCAGTTGAAACATAATAATATAAACTTTTCATCACTGATAACTTTTATTATGTCAGATGTGAGGCTCATCTGGCAGACACAGGAGCAGCTGCAAACCTGTACTTGGGAAACTTATTGGCCAGAAAATAACTGGCTTACGTCAGAAGAAGGGAGTTTTTTAAGGCTCCTGTCACTGGTTAGGGTAAATGATTTTGTAATAATTTTCCAGTGAATTATGAATCTTGCTGCACCTGGATGACACAAGGTTCATGTTATAAGGAGAATGGATTGGCACAGTTCGTTAGTGTGCGGCCTTTTGTGAAGAAGGTCCTGAGTTCCATTCCCAAGAGTGACCTCACATCCTTCTTTCTACTTCGTTCCCTTCCATGTAGCTTGAAATAGCCTTAAATACCCGTAAAAGGGAGCACTGACAGAGAGATGGCAGTAAAATGAGTGCACCGTTCACCTCAGGTTTGTTAGTCAGATGACTATTTCAAGCTACCGAGATCTCCTCACCTTTCGTGTTTCAGGTTCAACAAGAGGAACATTATCAACTGGTCCAGGCACCTGTGTAGCACACGTTGTTCCCTGTGTACAGTGGCCATTCATCATTCCAGATGGACTCACTGTTGTGTTGCCATGGATAAATGAGGGTTGGGATTCTCTTCGTATTAGAGGTCTTGTCTTCCCAGTGGAGTCATTGCTCCATGCTTGCCCTGGATGCCCATGGGTTAAATTTGTTACTTGGTTTAGTCTTGAAGGAAGGGTACCATTCTTGCGAAGGTTACCAGTTGAGCTTCTTCTTATGTAAGGCTAAATCAACAAAAAATCACAACAAATTTATGAAGTCCCCCTTTTAAGTAAAACAACCAACAGAATGTATACAATGTAGTTTGTCAGTGAACCAACCTGATAACTGACATATTCTTTCCAGATTCGCCACCAAGAAATTGCGACCAGATACCAAATTGTCCCTGCTTTGAGCTCATGCTGATACTCTCGCTCAAGCCACCCTCTGCAAAGAATAGACAACACCTTAAAGGGGATGTGTCCATTTCTCATAGTTCATTTTTTTGATAACAACAATCAGGCATCTTTTTACTTACCACAGAAATTGAGAAATAACTTGTGAATGGTAAAATTACAGCTTTGCGTCGAATGAATATGTCTCCCAAGCATTTTATAATGTTATGAATAACAAAAATGAATTTTGAAAAACTCTTGTGCTAACAAGTTTTCAAGAACACAATTTCAATTCGTTTCAATCTTCTTCAAGTTTGTCAATTTGTTCCTCCTTTTGTATTTGCTGTGTTGTTTATACTTTTTTTTCATATGTTGAGCAGTTTTTCACAGTTTGGTGGCGGTTGCCACGGTTGGAATTTTTCACGAACTTTGTGACACAGCTCCCTAAAATACAAAACCTGAAATGTCAACATCAAGGAGACAAAAGACAGATTCAGCATCACCTTTATGGCAAACAACAAACGTAGGACTGGAGTCGAGAAATTTTCAACATGAGAAATGAGCAAATAAAGACAGTTTAAAACAGCTCTTATACATAGACCTGGCGTGAATCTACTGATTTTTGAGTAGTTATAATGGACAGTAAACGACAAGTTAAGGGGAAACTTGGTCACATGGTACAAATTCATGTTTGCCGTAAACACAATGCTTAATCTCTCTAATATTACTGGCATTTACCTTACTACTTGAAGTTCAACCTCTCTTGTAGCTGGCTTTAATCCCAGTACAATGTGGCAAACCTAACAAAATAAATCACACTAAAAGTAACATAGTGTTCAAACACTCTTAGTGATCACTTGTTCCAACACTAACATTATGAGTTGAAAAAATGGAAATCTCTTCAACTTTTAAACGACTACTGAAGTGACAAACATTTATTTCCAAAAAAGGGAAACAATAGAATAAAGTATTGTCACACTAAGTGTGCTTGCCTTTAAAGTCAACAATATTTTTATTATTGTGATAACTGACCTGGACCAACAACTTGGGGAAAATATGGGAAAATCTGTGAGTTGATGCCCACTCTTTGTACTCCTCTAAACTAATTTGACCATTCTGAAGGGAAATCACATTCATTTTTAAAATACAAGAAAGTATACAAGAGATTCCTTTATAATAAAGGAAAATTAAGACTTCTTTAACCCATTCGCCCCTGAGCTGCCAGTAACTGCCCATACGGATCCACGTCCTATCTACCGCTCGTGATATCATCAGTTTCAATGATCAAGGGCAACTTTGTCAGCCAACTTGTGCAGAGTGAAGAGAACTGTCAAACCATACCAGAATGATCACAATTCAGTCAAGGACACCCAAGAAAAAGGCAAAAAACCATGTCACATTGACCTGAACATTTCCATGAAAATCTTGTTCCACTACCCACCTACCTTTCCTTTCTAAAAACTTTTCCCACCAAAATGAAGCCTACTAAATGCCCAGCAAGAGAAAAAAAATGAGGCAAGAAAAGCCAAAAAGGAGGGGAAGAGAGAAAGAGAAAAGTAAAAGTCAAGACTGCTGTGTCACTTTTCAACCCAAAACTTGTATCAAAATTTTACTTTCTGCGCATGCCCGAACGTCGTAAGCTAATGGTTTGCATCTGGATCAAAAGGCTGCGAAGTGTACAACCTGTGAAAAGTTTTGTGGTAAGTTTTAGCTCTTTACAGCACAACAGTGACCAGAAAACCAGTCGACTAGACATGTTTTTCAGCAACATCCTCAGGCGCGAATGGGTTAAGTTGCATGTTTCCTTTTCCATATATAGGTCCTTAGCTATTTCACTGAAAACCTGTTTCTTTCAATACTTCTCTTATTTAGTAGGGTGCAAAGAAAGGGGTGTCTTGACCCCTAAGAACCCCCACTGAATGACTCTGAGCTTTATTGATTAGGGCTAGGAAACTGAGTTAATCAACTTTCAGTTTTTTTCCAGTATAATGACTTAAATGGACCGTGATTCACTCTGCAGGGCTTCTGATAGGTCGTGGAAAAAAAAGTCAAATTTTGCGGGATTTTTAGGGACAAAATCACGGAAAACTCGGCCGATTTCGCAGGAATTTTGGGGCAAACTTGGCCAGGAAGCAATCGCTAAAAAAACGGCGGAGTTTGTGGTTATTTTCGGGGCAAATTTTGCTAGAAATTGATCGGTTTTGCGCTGATCAGACCAGCGTTTTTAAGGTTTTCCTAACAGAGGTCATTATTTGCTCTTTCAACAACAATACGCTCCAGAAATGAACCAATGGCAAAACCTTTAACATCATTGCTAGTGCCCAGTTTTTCGCAACATAATCTATGCCTGGTAGTTTTGGAATGTTGTTTGAATGTTTCAGTGACAAAGTTTTGACATAAATTTGTGAGTTTATGGCAAGTAAACACCTCCAGTAGCTGAGACAAGTTTCAAAATAATTGCTCTACAGGTATTTGATAAGATTTCTACCAAATTTTGTGGTATTTTGAGTGTTTTTGTGAATTTCGAGGGATTTTGGGGATTTACCTGAATTTCATGGCTCCACGACTGCCCTGACTCTGTTTCCTAACCCTAATCAATAAAGTTCACTTGGTGGGGGAGTCTTAGGGGTCTTTGTTTTCAAGACACCCCAAAGACAGTAAGTTTCAAAGCTTGTCATTTGGGCAAGCTGTAGTTAGCATGTACCAGCCCAAGGGTCATTTAAGCTTGCCCCCCCAAAAAATTGATGAGCAGGATCAATTACAGTTCTTCTGTTACTTGAATTCCCCACAAAAACTTCACATGCTCATCGGACAAGTTAAAAACAAGATTCACTAGCCCCTGGCTATCGGACATCAGTCTTTCTTTGCACGCTGATTTACATTTATTTTTTTAATTACAAAAGAAATAGAGGATATTACACAGTGGCACAAAGATATGAATTTTATTTTCAAGTGGCAAAACAATATTTTACGAACGAGCGCAGCTAGTGAGTAAAATATTGTTTTTGCCACAAGAAAATAAAATTCATATCTTCAAGCAGCCATGTAATGTTCTTTTTATTATACAGACAAAAAGACATTGATAAAATAATAGAGGGAAATTACTGAAATTACATCATCAATAAACTCACATGTGATATTATGGAAAATATACCACTCTGGTCCCGGATGTAGTTTTTATTAATTTTATGAGTGGTATATTTTCCGGTAAAACACTCGTGTCTATATAATAAACAATAATAATACATGTTTGCCCACCCAAAAAAAGATCCAGGGATCAGTCTGAGTTATACCTTGTATAATAAATGTTCATTCCATAAAGTCATAATAATTGTAAATTCAAAAATAATATTATAAGAACAGTGCACTGCTGTACCTCTTCTTGGTTACAGTCATTGAGTATTTCATTTGCCATTAAAGGAACATCTTTATCCCAGATGGCACTTGAATCCTGAAACAACAAGTTCTGGTTATTAGATCCATTTATGACCAGTCTAAGGGCGCTTTTTATTTGTCAGAACTGGCTGGCCGGGCCATTGCCATACCAGTCATTTTAAAATGAAATAAGCTTTTTCCTAGAGTTTTTGCTGAAAAACCTTCTCCTTCGTGCATACTATTTTAGAATTTCACTGATCTAGCTGGATAGTTTTGATTAAAAGTGAAATTCTCATTACGACAGAAATAGTCTGGCCAGCCCTGTACCAGACAGATAGAGAGTGCATGCATGTATATGTGCACTGCAAAACAATGCAAGTTCACCTTTGATTTACCAGTTCAATACCATGTCAATAATACCAAGATATAAAATGCAGTATGTGCTAAATTCCTTGGAGTGACACTTCAAATAAGACTTCATAGTTTCCAACAATACAATTGTCTCTTCAGCATTTAAAAAATAAAAATTTAAGCAGGCAAAGGGATATGTGCTATGTTCCATGCAAAATCTATTCTCAGGTTAAACCTCCTATGATATTTTGTAAGCCTGAACAATATGAATGGCACATTAATAATATAGTAATTACTATTATAAGCATCATACTGACAACATTTACATCTTAGCTAACTACTATCATGGACAAAAATCATTAGGATGATGATACAATATTCATAATTGCCTGTAACTTTAGGATACATTCATAATGCAGTGCTATATTTTTACAACTGCCTTGCAGTTCCCCTTCCCCATTTTATACAGTGTTGAAACTCAAGAAAAATTGTAGTAAGTAGTCATTGTTTTAGTCATTTATACACTGGTTTAACACTGCATATGGCGGGGGGGGGGGGGGGGGGGGGGGGGGGAGGAGGCAAGGCATTTGTAGCATAAAAAATCCACAAATGCAAGTTTGCCTGGAGACTTCTGTCGATGATTGTAGATATGCCTGTTGGCAAGTGGATTATCACTGGCCTGAGAACCAGTTTTCAAATACATTATATCAGGTTAACCTTGAGAATTGAAATTCCACGTGTTCGAAAGAAATACCCAGGATCAATGTCTGAGGGTGCGTTCTTTAAGGGTGATCTGGATCAGGATCAGTGACCCGAGATCACTTGAATCATGGTGGATCAAATGAACCGATGAATCCTTGTCCAGAGTGGATTCATCGGTTCATCTGATCCACAATAATCCGAGTAATCGCAGATCACTGATCCTGATCCAGATCATATTAAAGGAGTGTACCCTGACTGTTATGGGGTAAGATCATCAGGATATTTCTGTTAAATATGAAAGCACTGAGTTATATGCTATTTAAAAGCATTTTAACAGTTCAAGACATCACAAAAAAACTTGCCTTTTCTCCAACATTATTCTCCTTTCTGATGTCTATTAGTGCTTTACACATTACTTCAATTTCACTTCTGGATAGAAAGCCATCTCCATCAGTATCAAATACCCTAAAACAGACTGAAGAAACCAAAGTTGTCATTTAATTTTTTCTACTAGAATATATCATTAGTGAGAACAGCATCATGACAGTAGTTAATCCTTGTTCTAAAATCATAAGAGTAGAATCTTATTGATGTCCCAGAAAAAATAAAGGGTTAAGGATAAGCAATACAAAAATTAATTGAACTGAAAGCTGGTTGGTTAGGGTACTTATTATACATCAGGGATGTAGCCGAAGAAACGTTTTATTAGTCAAGATGGCTTTTTCAGTCAACTACCCCTTCAAAATTACCCCTTGTTTTTGTTTCTCAGAGTAATTTCAGCTAGTGGTACGCTTTATTTTAGCTGGTAAAAAAAAGGCTATTTCCAAGTTCCAAAAACTCTCACTTTCAAAATAAGGCTAACTGAAAACCCTTTCTTGTGAAAATGAGGGGTTTTTTGCATGAAAATAAAAATATCATTTTCATATCAATGGTTTCCCGCTTAGCCTCACTTTGGATCAGAAGCTTGGGGCATCTCAGAAATGGCCTATTAGCCAGCGGCCATCTCCTGGAGACATTCCTTAATGTTGTGCACGTACAGCCCAATAGGTGAACAAATTGTTGGTTTTTAATTGAGTTAGTCCATTGATGTCAGTTTTGCTTGATTTGTCGATATTAAGTGCTTTGTAAGGAAGAACCAGCAGCAGCATTTAATAAGCTAATCAACCAGTGAGTCATTGGTAGTATTCTGTAGAATACACAATGCATTCAGCAGAGTTGAGCAGTTAATGCATTGGTTTCTCAGTAAGTGGTGTTCAGTGGTGGGATTGATCACATCACCATTTCTTGTTGCTTATTTGTGCTCAGTCATTAGTGTGCTGAGGTTTATACCATTCTCACAAATATAAGTACCCTGGTGCGCCATAGTCACTTAGCCCAGTTGTCGGTGTGTGGGTTTGTGTTTGTCCTTAAATGATCGTTCACAGCTGTCATAAAGTGGCAATCCTTTTGTGGTGGTGTATGTCCGTCTAAGGCTTTAGGATACATGTGATAGTTCAGAGGTGCCTGTCTGTTTATATATTTTTGTATAATGTTAGACAGTATAAAGTGCTATGGAAAGAAACTTTACTCACATTTTTGCCTTTCAGCATTGGATCCCCTGCAGCACTTAGAGATCCCACAAGCTAACTCACGGAAATCTATATGACCATCACAGTTTTCATCAAAGGCTTTAAAGAGACCTGTAGATTAATGGCAAGTAAATAAACAAACCTACTAAAAATGGTAGTTTCAAAGGATCAAACCTTAGCAAGAAGTGAACAGGAATATCGAAAGGATGAATACATAGAGGATATTACACAGTGCCACGAAGATGTGAATTTTATTTTCGAGCGGCAAAACAACGTAAAATATTGTTTTTGCCACAAGAAAATAAAATTCATACCTTCAACCCGCCGTGTAATTTTTATTAACTTTGTAACTTTTTATTACATACACAAAAAGACATTGATAAAATAATAGAGGGAAACTCCCGAAATTATGTCATTGATAAACTCACGTGTGAGATTATGGAAAATATACCACTCGGGCCCAGGATGTAGTTTTTATGAATTTTATGAGTGGCATATTTTCTAGTAAAACACTTGTGTCTATATAATAAATAAATGTACAGGTTAAAAAAACTTTATGTATCACCAAAACACCCAGTGTAGGACATTACTCTCAGAGCACCTAATGTCCAATGGCTGACCTTGAATTCTAGTTTTTTTAACACAAAATGTCATAAAGTTTTCCTTGGCTTTTATTGAGAAAAAAGAGCAGGAAACAAGACCGATTTTTTCAGCCTCATTATTTAATACCCAGAACACCAAGGCTGAACAAAGGTGAACCAAGGCTGAAAGAACTATACTGTTTTGGTAAAGACTGCAGTTACTCATGAACACTGTTGCACATTACAAAGGTCAATGTAAGACTCAAATTTACCAACTTTAACAGACAGCAGTACATTACATACCTGGACAGAGACACTTTGGTATAGGTGGTGACACAAGTGGAGTGAACGTCTCCAGGTCAAATTTGCCAGTTTTTGTCCCAGACTTCAACGTCCAGTACCTCTTTTCAAGTTCCATGACATCTATTTCTTGTACTACAGCACCCAAATAAAAAACACAATGATTAAATTACAAGTTTCTATCATTAGAACTTTACCTTGTCCTGAGCACAATTCATTTCAAAAAGGACATTTTTTTAACCCATTTGCTCCCGGGATTTTTGCCGAAGAATGAACACATAATACCTTTTGTAAGCAATCACGACCACTTCTTGGGGTGATGGTTTTAGAATTCTTTTATAGTTTTTATCCCCCTGTAGGCGGCCACTTGAGGCATGTTTTACAAGACACCATGAAATTACATATTGTAAATTTGTGTATTCTATTCAATGATTATTCTCCTACATAAATTGTGGTTTGAATCTCGTAAGTGACCACAAAATCTTTGCAGTTTGGGTGGTCACATGACTTTGTGGTCACTTACGGAATTCAAACCACAGGAGTCTCTTCCAACAAGATGTCCACACCCATCAACACAATATACAAATATAATACAATATACAAATTCCCCCCACTACAATTTAAGAAACGTATAGGGACAACAAATGAGAATCTGAATTTTGATATTAGGATTTACAGGGGTAGATAGCCAATTTCAAAGGGACTTACAGTGAGTGACACTGGCAAGTGTTTGGTAAAAGGTTGGTGTTTCACTACTGTCTGTCAGCTGAATGCTGCAGCCATTACTGATAATCAGTAACCACCTTGTTACTGTGGTCACATCAGGGTTTCTCAGCAACCAACTGGAAAAGTCCTCAAATGACAGTCGATCACACTGAAAAATATAATGCGGACAGTAATATGTCAGGTATAGGTCAAAATGAAACTCAGGTTAAAATGGTTTCAACCTAGATTGATTCTCGGTTTCCTTTGTTTACTAACTATTTACTAGGAGACAAAGGAAACTGAGAATCAAACTAAGTTGCAACCTTTTTAACTGTGGAAGTCGTCTGCCTCGCCAATTGCAGAGCGGTGCTCCCCCCTTTACGCAATATGTCTACTTCCTGTGTTTTTACTTAACCCTATATTTTAATTGTAGCTAAGGAACCTCGACATTAACCTATGATAAATCCATAGTAATACAGTGAAACCTCTATTAAGCGGACAGCCTCTATTAAGTGGACACTAAGCCGGGTCTCGAAATTAATGTGTTTTATTTCCCTTTATAACGAACCCCTATTCAGCGGACACCTCTATTAAGCCGATGCGGACACTAAAATAAGTTGCATTTGGCTAATTTCTATTGTCAAAAACCTCTACTTAGTGGACACCGGACTGGATTGAAAATAGTAGTATTGGATTACGTCCTTGAAATACGTACTGAAGTCAATTAATGTTTTTGGATTTACAAACAAATTAAAGTTGGTACTGAAAGGTGATGAACTTGAACTTTGGATAGCTTCTTTAACAACATGCAACTTTATCACAGTACAGAGTAACTGTTGAATGTTGATCGTTAATAAACGTTGTACAATTTTTACAACCTCTATTAAACGTGCACCCTCTTGAATGCTTCCATGGGTAACACTAATACATTTATGAAAATGAACATGATCTTTGCAGTAGAATGGATAAGCTATAGAGTTCATATCTTTATTCGCAGTTCAAATGATGATTCATTTCATATATTTCAATTCACTAATAAGTTTGTTCCTTGATTCAAACATAAGAACATCACACTTCATGACAGCCTTTGACAGGGAAACATTGGAAGTGTTTCAAAGATTTTAGTGGGATTTGAACATCACTCGCACATTTACAAGAGTTATAACTGTAGGAACTAACCAAAGTAACATATGTAAATGCACAGTACAGGGCTTCGAACCCACAGTGCTCATGTGCAACAGAATCAACTTCCCTTTTCCCGGTCACACACTGTAATTTGTCCTCACATTTTTTAAACTTTATAACAAACCAATATTATTTTCAATTCCCCAGAAAGTTCAAAGCATGAGGATCTTCTACACAATCTTTCTGTGCAAAACTATATATGCGAGTAACTGCTATGCTTGTATTGAAATTATGGCTAAGCATACCATACAAGGAAACCACAGTTTCTATTGGCGCGTTACATGTGCAAGAAAACAAGTCTATTAGAAAATTGTAAGTCTTATATAAGCTTCAGCTAAGTATTTCCAAGTATATATGCTTCAGTGCGTTTTAAAACTCACAACAAAACGTTAAATTGATGACTTCACTTTTTCGAAATAACTTAATGCTACTGAGGGAAAATTCCTGGTTTTGAATGAAAATATAAGTCTCAAACGCAAAATGTAAAACTTAGCTGGAGATCAATTCTACGCTAAAAGCATTAACCCAAGAATAAACATGGTTACAATGGAGTTAATACGAAATATAAAGTCACGTATTTGAGAGACAGTTGCGTAGAACAAAAGGACAGCTAAGGAGATTATGATTGCCAGTTAATGTTGAAAACAAGAGAAACAAGGTATTACCTCGTAGAAGCAATCGATCACTGCTTGAGGAATATTACCACCATCACAAGCTAGAATAAGACTCTCCATGCTATCTTTGTACACGAATACTCCGTCAGAATAAATATTGAAAATAACTAGGAAAAAAACAAGAATCATAAAATGAAAAAGTAAGATTACATTTGTCAGTGGATTATCTCACAAGACAAAGTGAATCATGATTAATTCAAGCCCTGAAGGTCTCGGAAACCAAACTTACATTTTATCTTTTCTTCACGAGTTCCCCGAGTTAAAAGTACAAGACCACACAGCAAATCCCGAAATGTTATTCCCTTGTTTGTGCCACCAAATCCTGAGTAAATTAGCTGAAAGACAACCGAGATTGTTGTTGGGATCAACTACACAAGGCAAAGAGATGAACCGAAGCAATCACACAGCTTACAACGCACTACTTTTCCTTACCTCAGCGACTTTGCTCGGAACACCATCACCAACTACTTCTCGGGCAAAAACCGTCTGGGGCATGAATCCACTCACACCACAACACCGCTTGAACGCCAGCCGTAGGCGTTGCATTTCATCATCAGTAACTGAAACAATTCCCAAACAAACAAAGGGAAAAATCAGCTGGAATAAACACCGAAAACTTATTCTGTTGACCTGATCGACAGACGGAACAGGTCTTTCAATCGTGACCAGCTGAATACCTACCTCGTTTTGTCGCTTCCTCATAGGAGAGGAAGCACAGTTTTGACTCCCTTAGACCCATAATTGACTAGTCTGGTAGTTCCTACATATTGTGGAGGCTGTCGTTGTCCCGAAAAAAATTATTAGCGATAAACATTGCACCTTGCAATGTCTTGATCTTAGGCAAAACACACCTTCCTTGATTCCTGCTCGTGACGTTCTCAACTCTGAAGCCTCGTTTCGACGTTTCGCTGTTTCCCTTTTCGCTTGCATTGTGGGTAACAACGGTGCGCGGGAAATGACGCTACAGGTTTTCGAAATTCGGTTTCCTTGGTAATTAATGAACACGATAAAACATACTCTGCTTATTTCTTTTTTATGTTCGATTTCTATCGTAAGATTGTTTTATTTATTTATTCTGTATTTATTTTTATTATTTTATTTTTCAAATTACTTATTTTCTGACACGTAGATGTCTGGCGAGCTAAGTATCGTCAAGAGAGGATAAAGCTATCCTCTCTTGGTATTGTACTTTTCCAATTACGGAAGACTGAAATTTTCCAAGCACCTAATTGACTATCAGCTGCGAGTAAAATTCCATTATATTTTTTTCTCTTGTTTTAGCTAGTATGAACAGCTTTTTCGGTCTCTGACGTATTTTTGGACTTGGTGAAACAAAGGCATTGCGTTCGCAAATGTATTTCGTTATCAACCGCTAGACTACCTGATCGGGAAATAGTCATGCATGATTAGCGAAAGTGAAATCAATGTCTCGTTTGATTATCTTTGATATTGTTGCTCAAGCAAATACAGTATAGCGCCCTTGACGCAAACAGTGCTTTCGAAACAAAACATGCCAAGTGAGAGGATGCTTTTATCCTCTCTTGATTCCAGACGAAGATGAGGAAATAATCAGAACCTATAGAACCAGAGTAGCAGTGAAACGAAATTTTGCCAAATTCAGCTACTGGAAAATGGCTGTCAGATGAAGCAAAACATAGAAAGTAATGGCCCTAAACAATGAAGGAAGGCTTAATCAACACAACAAATACAAACGACGGCACGCTGATGGACAAGTCTGAGATCAATTCTTAATTACAATTAGGACCGCATGCACGTTCGTAGAAAAACGAAAAGGAAGTCGTCGTCGTGTGCTTACGTCTTCAATTAATACATAAAACGAGGGAGTGAATTATAAATTTCTCGCCATAATCGTGCAGCCAGGCGCGTATCGTAAATTCGCACGTGCGTACTTTTAAAAATGTCCAAGACTAATACAACGAAGCAAAACAAAACCAGGAAAGAAATAACCCAGAAAGGAAATATTAGCGACAGTCTTAAAAGACAATGAGATTGGTTGACTAAATTTGATGAGAGGGCTGAAAAGGCCGGAAAATCGCGAGTGGGATGAGTGTTGCATCATTCAAGAGAGAACTTTATACGCATTATTTTTTTATCAGTCGCGAGATGAAGAGGCCCAGTTTTGAAAGGATCATCTGCGACAGCAGCAAGTCTAGCGTCGGAAAGGATCTAGAATTGTGTTACCTATCGTAACACAAACTTCACCAATTGTCAATGAAGAGAAGGCTAGCCAGCGCGTGGCAGGCATTTGAAGGAGAAGGCAAGGTGAAAGTTTTTTTGAAAAGCGTTCTGCGCCACGCACCCTATCAGGAAGCTAACTAATTGATGCTCTAGTACTCAATAGTATTTTAAAGTACCAAAAAGAAAAGAAATAAAAAAGGGAATATAATTAAGAAACGCATGTGGAGACGATTATTTCAAGAGGGAGAAGGGTGACTCTTAAAAAACTTTGCGTGACCCTATTAGCTAAGTAGGGAAAAGGACGAGGGCCATACACACAGTCCCAAAGACTCTTACTATAGTGGCCACTCTCATCAAGGACTCCCTTAGTATTCTGTCGGATAAATAGAACTGTCCAATCCACTTACAAATTACTGAATGGAATAAGCAATTTTTTTATCAAAGGACTTTTGATCAACGCCCTGCCTTTCTCTATTGTTCAAAAAGGTTGAGAAATACTACTGAGTTAAATACGAAAAACGTCAGCTGTGCCTAGACGTTTGCGTGCAGCATTATTTGGAACACAAGCAGTGTTAAACCGTGGTGACTCCTACAGCACTACGAAGGCTACCAGTCGGGAAAAAGTTACACAAGGGAGCTAAAGCAGAGGCGTTTTTAGAAGGGGGGCATTTTCCTTTTAAAAAGTCTTGACGGAACTAAATTCATATTTTGAAAAATCTTAAGTCTTAGAAAGACGATTTGGTTGTAAAAAGGGTAAATTCACTGCCCAAGAAAGCAAAAAGCGCACTTCCGGTAGATATGCGTCGCATTGACATGCGTCTTTGCATAAGCTACTACCTTGATGACCGGGCGTTGGCGGAAAACTTTATCCTCTCACTTCATCCCAAGTTCTAGCATTACTAAATGAACAACAAGGAGCTCCAAAATGTTACAGTTCCCCGCCCCTATTTAGAGCTGCCACAGGGCAAAGAACTTCCTATCATAGAACTGTTAACGGATCATGTGCTGGCGAATCAAAACCGATTCTAAATAAAATCGGTGTCAGGTTTGTAAATGGGTCCAAGTTTTAGAGAAACTATTTATAGGTGATAAATAGTCCACAGTCTCGCCCGCTGAGACACCTCTCACTGAGACCATGGCCAACCAATTAAAAAACTGTCCACTAAGTCGCCCGAAACAAATCGGTCACCAGGTGATAAGTATATATTAAGTGGTAAAATGCAATGCTGGCACCCCTCCCTTGGCGCTTGTCTAGCGCTCCACACACGCCTTGTACTGGCTTTTCTTCCCTCTCCCAAAAAATGCCCGAAATACACTTATTCCGCAGGCTACATAAAATTCCGCCGTGGCTTTGGGTTATATGATTGGACGAAACGTTTCCTTGTGTTATCCAGTCGTAATTTAGCTGAAAAGGTTTGTTGATTAGAGACATAATAGAAGAGAAAAATCATCAAACGCATCTGTTTGAGTTTCAGGAATGATTTTCTCAGACAATGCGCGCATTCAACAGTAACGTACCATTTAAGCCATAAGATCAAAGTTAATTTTCATTTGTTTTCCCTATTTTTTTCTATTGAAGTAGTGGGGAGAAGTTGATAACATATCAAATAAATATAACTTTTGAGAGCATGTCGTTGGCTAATGACCAATGTACTTTACAAAGCTCTGATATTACAAGGAAAAAATTGATATTGATCACTCTTAGGGTTTAAGGGGATAAACGGTATATATACAGGTATTACATGACTAGCCTGTGGCGGGCGTTGAAAGGGGAGGGAGGAGAAGAGAAACGGGAGAGGGGATTTGAGAAGGAAGGAAAGCTCCCCCCCCCTCCCCAACTCCCCTTCCATTTTTTGCGCCTGCCATGCAGGCTATAAATGACCACCACACCGTTCTTGTCTCGTGATTCAAGCTTTGTCAGGAGCCTGTAATCGGCTACTGGTTTTTATTTATTATAGCTTTTCTTCGTTACATAAAGACAATGGTTATTTCAGACACGCTGTTTTGTCACCGCGTTGCTTTGACGAACGCTTCAGCATGGTCCCTCAACAAGTTTTACATCATCCAATGCAATGTCGCCCTGCGCATTAACTCCACGAGTACCCTCAAATATGAGCTGCAACAGAATATAAGCAAATGGAAAGTATATTCTAAAAGAGCGATAATAATAGAAGCCAGAGAAAATAGCCCACATTTCGCGTCGCTACCACTGGTTTTCCTGCGAAATGACGTCTGAGAAACGAACGCAGAAATTCCATACTGATGAGGCATCACTACCCAGATCTAGGTAGTGCTTCTGATTGGTCGTGTCGCGGGAGAAATTTGCTTCAGCCAATCAGACGCACTACCCTGGTCTGGGTACTGAATGACGCGTCATCAGTATGGAATTTCTGTGCTCGTTTCTTAGACGTCATTTAGCAGGGAAACCAGTGGTGGCGTCGCGAAATGTCGGCTGTTTTCTCAATCAAGGTATATCTGTTACGAGCCGATTTCCTTGAAAACTCCATACAAACCCTTCTAATTTTCTGGGTGTCGACCCAAAAAAATTTAGAAGGGTTTGTATGGAGTTTTCTAAGCATAACCGGGCTACGATCTCAGAGACAATTTGCCCCGAAATGCTCATTTTTGGCAAGTAGGCCTCTTGGACATTGTTCTTTCACAATATCCTGACAAATCCCATGTTTTCAGAAATTTCATTTGTATGACGTCACACTTTAGTACTCTGTTGGACTGAGCCTAAATGTGTCGCGCAATTGTTTCTGGGATAGTTGCTTGGGACGCCGGTCAGTTATTGGTCAATATTTTTTTTTCATGTGTCTGGTAACAGTCCCACAATTCTTTGTGAAAGTTAACTCTGCAGAGTTTCCTTCTAGTTTCTAAATTTGCGAATTAAGGCCAATAGGATAGTGGGATTTAGTCTATAGCCTTCTAAGATAGCTGCCAATGCAAATAAGTCCCATGGTCTTATTAGAAGATCAATGAAACCATGCAGCGCAGAGGGTAACGAGACAGCTTATATGACACTGGTTAGACCTACGCTTGAATATGCATCCTCTTCGTGGAATCCTTACACTGACACTGACATAAAGCGTCTTGAGCAAATTCAGAAGAAAGCGGTTTGCTTTTTATGCAACGACTATGACATTGCAACAAGTACTTCTAGCCTTGTTAAGCCCTTAGGCTGGGATACTCTCGAACACGGGCGTTTGTTCAACCAATCAGTGCTTATTTATAAGTTTCATAATAATTTAGTAAACTGTCAAACCCCTAGTCCATGTATGTTAAATCTACCAACAAAATCAAGACTACTAGATTTCACCAACTTACCTATTGCCAAGGCGAACGTCTCAGCTTTCAATTATTCATTTTTCCCAAGGGTTATTAGAGTCTGGAGTCTGCTTCCTTATGGAGTCACGTCATCTTCTACATTAAGCTGTTTTAGGCAGTCTGCTTTGCCTGCCATTAGATCACTTAAGGTGCCTTCACATCTGCACAGGCTGTAACCGCTGATCTCTATCTTTTTTGGGACTATTTATTCTATGTTCTAAGTTCTAAGTTCTAAGGTTGCAAATACAGGCAAAAAATGGTAATGGTATGGGCTACGGTATGTGTTAGCTTCAGCAAAACTCCTTCTCTCAAAAATGCAGAGTTAAACCCGCCCGAATCTGGAAACGTTCTTACCTTGAAAGGCTTGTTGCGCTTGTGTTTCTTCACATTAACCCCTTTGTATTGCCAGTTATTTCCTCTGTTGCCTACTTTTCTAAAAAGCTCCCATCGTCTACCTTTTTTTCCTCTTGTAATAAAAACACGGAATGATCCCATTCCATTACCATACATATGAAACCAGAATTGAAGGCATTTCGGCGTGTCACCAGGAAACTGTTTGCTTATCAGCTCGCCTCGATGGCCGCTTAGCTGATTGGCGGCGTTCAAGTAAATGTAACTTCCTAGAAATGGTATCATAAAGGCAAATCAAAATAGGCTTTAATTTGAACAAATAAGAGGATTTGGTCCCCATGTGCAGAGTATAGCAAGTAAAGAATAGGTAGATTTATCATTTTGTGAAAGACAACGCAACGTCAAATAAGAACGCGAAAAAGGGCGAAAAGGATTGAACGTGACTTCTCAGTACTCAATTTGCCGATCCTCTCTTTGCAATTCACCGCTGTCAAACGAGAGAAATTTTTGCAAACGCTAAGAAAATTATTCAAAGTTAAGGTTGTTACTTTAATTGTTCAAAGCCTGAAATTTTACTGTCGATATGCTGTTAATTTCAGAACTAAAAAATTGCTTTAAATGTTCAGATTACAGTGTATCTAAAAACTGAAACTGGTGTTACGATCGGGGCAACTTTGCCAGCGTTTTCAACGAAACCAAGCTCAATATTTTCATAAAAATGAAAAGACGGTTATAATAACAATCACTTTAAACATCCTTGCCCATGTTTGTTCTTGCTGGTTGACTGAATTCTAGAGAATAAAACAAGAAAACTGACGCCTTGGAATTTTTCTACCATTGGTCAAAACGGGTTTTAGTTGTTATTAAGTCATCCACTTACGGCCAGTTTTTTTGGCAGAGAGTCTACACATTGACTCTTGTTAAACCTCTCTACAACGGCCACTTTCCTCTGTCCCAAAGGTGGCCGTTGTGGAGAGGTTCAACTGCATTGGATCAATTTAGGTTTCTGAGAAACTGCCCACCTACCCCTCCCCTAAGTTAACATTAACACTTACTTATCACTTAGGGCCAAATGATGGCCTAGGGGAGGGGTAGGTGGGCAGTTTCCCAGAAACCTAAATCCGTTAAATCTACCTAACAGAGAAAACACCCAACTACACTAATGTCGGCGACGCGAACGACTTCGTTCATGCTAAAAACTTTCCCGGAAAGAAGTCAGTGGTAGCAAGGTAAAATATTTGGAAATGTTGCTATTAGAACCTAGTGCCCTCTTCTTTACCTTGACCGCTAGTATGGTCGTTGGCGGGTCCCGTGTTAGAAGAAAGAGTAGCCCCCTTGTTCAGCTGCCAGTCATAATTGTTACTGGGACGGTTAGTCCAGTCACACATACTACTACCTTCGAAGTCACAGGAATCTAGAACTAAAATAGTAACATCTTTTATAAAATTCTTCTTTTACACACAACTCTCCATTAACTCAAAGCGCGTCAATGAACTCACATATTGATATCTCAACAAACACTGTGGAAATACGCACATAAGAACCACTGATTTTTGGTGGCCCTCTCAAGATCGTCGGGAGAATTGGTCTTGGCCCCAAGCCTCCTCCATTTACCCACATAGCGCCTTAGGGGCCTAAGAAGGAGGATTAGGCTCTTGGTCATTTGGCTAAAATCAACCAATCGCGAACAACAGAGAAAATTATTTACCTACAGATGATGTTGTCGGGAGTAATGTTGATGTGGGCGTTTGTGTAGTTGTCGGTTGTTTTGTTGTTGTGGGAGCTTGTGTAGTTGTTGGTTGTTTTGTTGTTGTGGGAGCTTGTGTAGTTGTTGGTTGTTTTGTTGTTGTAGGCGCCTGTGTAGTTGTTGGTTGTTGGGTTGCTTGTGTAGGCTCAGGACTCTTCTTAAATGCTATGTCATCGACAGAAATGTCGCCTCTGAAGTCTCCACCACGTTCACCTTCGAAATAAACCTGAAAAAAAAAGAAGAAAAATTTACTGTCTTAAACTATCTCATTGACCATATCACTACTCTGAGTTCTGGATCATTTTTCATTTCAAACTTACGTTTGAACGTAACTTGTAAAAGAAATACAAACTACGAAACAACCCTAGGTGCTGCATGCGATCATGATCATCATTCCGCGTCAGAATCATCATCATTATCGCTATCACCAGTGACGAAATCTGTATCTCATCATCATAAACATCACCGCTGTCACTGAAAAATTTTGATGGGATCATATGTCAAAACAAACTAACTGTTTTGTTTTTCATTTGACATGATAAACAGAGAGCTCTATAGTGCGTCCGACAGATCGTCCAGTGTGCGTTTACGCAATTAAACGGTAGACGCATTTTTCACGTGAACGGATTATGTGTATTGAGGATAAAAAACGACCATAGTCAAAATAAGTATCATCATTTTCGTTATGATTATAAGGCAATGTCGACATTATAGCAGGTAGCTCTTGCGCTGGCACAAAACCATACAGTGATAACGAATAGTTCACACATAAGAACAATGAACAGTGTGAACAGGTATGGACTGGAATCTACTAAGACGGAAGTAAATATTCAGAAATGAGGACTGGGATTTAGTTTTCCAAACCCTCTCGGCCAACTGCTCCGGCACGATGATCAATGTGTGTGAACGACTTGCTTCAGCTCTGTGTTGTTGCGGTTCATACTATACCGGATATAGCGATTCCCGTATGACCTTTAAATAAAAAAGCGCGAACAGAACAGAAACAACAAACAAACGGAAATAGAGCGATTTGATTGGTTTATTTACCGGATACAAACGCGCTTGGCTTTTAATTGGTTAAGCGAACGCTTGGGTGAAAAAACTTCACGCCCGTTAACTTTCTCGAAATCAATCGATACTTCACTTTGACGCCATACTGCAACACGATTGGCCAATCGGACAATGCCTTCTCCATACTAGGGAGTCTATGTTTTCATGTTTTCATCCACTGGCTGATAACAAATAACGAGCACTTACCGATACCATTTTTCAAGGTCATACGAAAATCGCTCTAGCTTTTTGTGAAGGCACGAAAGGAAGTGTATATGGTGTGAACATAGCCCTAACACTTTAAGCCCCAATATCCACATGTAAATTCTCGAAACTGATCTCCATTCGTTTACTTTAAGAATTAGTTGAGAGAATTTGATAAAAAATCATGGCATTTTCTCATTGATGATCATTTTATTAATTTTCATAACTTTACCTCTTAACAATGTATGGATATCTTTAGGGGAAAATTTGTGTTGGCCACTACTGGGACTTAAAGGGCGGAAGTCATTATATAAGTTTCTGGGAAACTGCCCACCTACCCCTCCCTTAAGCCAACATTTTGCCTTAAGTGAGAAGTGAGTGTTGATGTTGGCTTAAGGGAGGGGTAGGTGGACAGTTTCCCGGAAACGTATAAAATAACGATGACAATTTCTCTACCTTATACTGTGAGTCTTCTTTGATCTCCACACTGGCTTGGATCCATTGATTTCCCTGTTCACCTTTCTTTTCCCAAACAGTGCTCATTGTGCCATCACTGAACTGCAACTTGACCCTAAGTGCACCGATTCCTGACCCAAGCATATGGTACCAGAATGTAAGGCTTCGACATGATTCCACAGGAAGGTCCTGACTGTAAAAGCAATTCGTTTGCCCTTGCTGGGCGGGCGATGAAGCCTCGAAATACATATAATTTCCTGATAGTGGTGATAAAAGAACAGTGGTACCATGTTTTATTTTTACGTAATATATAATGGCCATAAGATAAATTTAAATGTTATTGTTGCTTTTTGTATGTAGCCTGCATGGCAGGCGTTCGAAAAGGAAGGGGGAATAGGGAATTCGAGCGCGCGAGAACGTGAAGGGCACCCTCGCGTACACGCGAGCTTTATTTTCCCCTTGGAACGTCTGCCACGCATGTTAAGCTTTAGATGCTCATTGTTAAACCATTGCTATAGATACAAGTAGAGTTGAAGGGTAAAATATGAGAAATTCGTAAACGGCAGATTGTAGGTTAGCTAGAGTATATTCTACACCTTCTCCTCTTTCCAGCCTGTTTTCAAATCATAGATGACTTCATGAGCAAAAATGCCAAGCGCTAGCTCGAAAGCAACCAAAAGTGCTTAAAATAAATAAACTTGACTGATGGGAAATCAATTCACAGCGTGACTAACGCAGTGCTTTCTAGTCCATTCTTCCATGCGATATTAGGAGACGACTTGAGTTAAGTTACCTGAGCCGGAAGTATGGTCACCATTGGGTCCTGTGCCTGAACTTCCGGTTGGGCCACTGTGATAATACCAGAGAGGGTAAGTACTTGGATTACATATAGTCCAGTGGCACAATCCACCTGCCTCAAACTCACAATCTAAAGGACCTGCCGAATGAAATCACAAATGCACTGGGAGGACATATGAATAGGCCGCAGCTTTATGGTGTTCTAACGTAGCAAAGAGTCTCTGTTCTTTTGCATGTGCTATTCATTTGAAGAACTTTCAGCAAAAGAAAGGCTCATTCTGAAACCGGCTTCAAGAACGAGTCAGAACGACCTAACCATCAAGACGTAGTTAATAGATAAAAATCGATATCGGAAATCACGCGTATCATCGATATTAATCATCTTATTCCGCCGACTAATATCGATTGATATGGGAAATCGGTAGAAAACGAAATTACAGAAAAAATAATTTATCGATTATTATCGATAAACAAAATCGATAACCGTAATCTTGCAGACTAAATGCAAACGTACTATATAACAACAACAAGAAGACCCATGTCTTACCCAATCCGCATCGCTGCATGACACATTGACCGACTTGCTGACTTTGGCCTTCACAGTCCTTCCCATTATTCTTGGGTTCTGGATCATCACATTTTCTCGTCCTTTTATATGTTCCTGTGTCACATGTCACGCTACAGGAAGACCACGAAGACCACCTTCCCCAGTGTCCATCTAATGGTGCTACGATGCATTCAAACACCAAATTTATTATTCATTCACTATTAATTATTTACTTTTACGCTTAGCTGGCGACTGATGATTGGCTTTTACTTTTGACTGTTAGTAGCTTGCGTGAGAACGGCTAACTAAGGGCAAGGACGAAGATAAGACAAACTTAAAGCAAGGGGCACACATACAGTGCCTCACCAGTACCCCACGCATGCGCACTGATGATAACATCATTGATAATTATAACTCTAATGATGATGATGATGATGATGATGATGATGATGATGATTGAGAATGGTAAAAAGGGTTATGCTTACTAGATCCACCAGGATAAAAACCTTTGTTTTGTAAATTCGCCCTTATCACATGCACGTATACGTAAAACAAGATAATAACGGCTTGCAAAGCGCGACCAAATTTTCATAGAATCTGCAATAGATTAGAGTGCCCTTGTGATCAGTCAAACCATCAAACAATGAAACTTATTATCACTTTCCAGCACTCTGAAAGTGTACTGCTTGATTTCGCTCAGTCCGAACCTGTCCCAAACCGATAAAATGAAACACTGAAGTTTTTTTAATTGCAATAACAACATCAAAATACCAGAATACCAGAACAGCATAACACGCTCGATATTCGATATTCCTCTATTGAATTGTGTTTGTGTGTTTTTGGCTTTAATTAATTTTTTTTGAGTTTTGTTTTATGAATTTTTAGCTTGATTTTTATTCAATGAGAAGAACTAAGCGTATTTAGTTACCATAGCACTTTTCATCCGGGCACTTTTCAGTCTTAGTTTCAACACCATAATAGTCGGCCCCGGGGCAGTTGGCAAGGTCATGTGACGCGCAAAAGCGTTGACGACTATGATAGCATTGACTATCGCACGGACCGAACTCTGTCCAACCGCTCCAACCACCGCTGGGACCTGAGAATGAGAGCAACTCACGTGACGATTATCTTACAAAACTATGCTCAATGACTGATAGCATCAGACATTCTGAATTTTTCTACATAAGTCTTAAAGTTTAATTTGCCTGTTGTTCTCTTGATCTGAAACACTACAGCCAGAAAACTCCCAGTGCAGTTTCTTTTGACAGGTTACTCCATAGGATTTCATCCATAAACTCAAAAGTTAGAACCACATTCTAAATAAACAGTAAGGATTTCGGAAAAGTACTGCCAAAGAGGTTTAAGACGGAATCCACCAGGACATTGCGAGTAATTTTGATTTTCAGTGGACAAAAATCTTGAACCAGAATAATAGAAAGAACATTGCATTGTTTCTTAGATTTTTTAAGGGCTAAAGATGTAATAAATCATCTGTAGTACACCAAAAAAAATTTCTTATGGGAAACCCAGAAAATGAATGTCAAACTTCACAAAATTACGTCTTACACAAAATTTTAGATTTTTACCTGTATAATCACAATTCTTGTGAAATTTGACATTTATTTTCTCGGACTTGCATAAGAAATTTTCTTTGGTGTTACTGCAGATTGAAAAATGTAAAAACGAATGCAATATTCTTTCAATTATTCTGGTACAAAATTTTTGTCCACTGAAAATTAAAACTATTCAATTTCCTGATGGATTCCATCGTAATTTCACTTGAATGGTAACAACAACATAGGACTCCACAGACTCAAAGGTTGTTACCACGTACTAAAATAAACACTACCGTGTTAAAAGCTGTCAGACTGAAGTTTCATATGACTTGGAGTGAAACTCAATTGATATTACCTGAACAGTCGTACAACGCATTAAGCTGCGCAATGTCTGTTTTGCTGAAACCGTTCCGCTGACCAAGCTGTTGGTCAGGGTTGCCGAGAGCTTGAATCGTTGGTTGATTATTCGTTGAAAAGCTGGTTTTCCCATAATGCATTATGCTGCCTGTATCATAAACTTCACTTAAGTAGTCAATTTCTTGGAGATTGTACTTGTCGAAATTGTGTTCTTTACCTGAAAGACAATTTGTTGAGGTTAGAGAGTTTCGATGGATCTGAATACTACCTTCCCATGACAACAAACATCTATCATCTGTGTCCTATCACGACATAAAGTTGGTGTCAACTGGAAAAAAGTCTTTTAATCGGAATAGTATCCTTATTTGACCCCCTATCTCTGTCAACTCGACGTCTGGGATATCGAGTTAAAAGAGGGCAAGTGCCTTAATCCTTTAAACCCTAAGATCAAAATTAAAATTCTCATTTGTCGCCTCTATTCATTCACTACAGAAGTAGCGGGGAGAAGTTGATAAAATATCAGGTAAATATCTTGTGTGATCATGTCCTTAATTCTTATGACCACTTTGTTGTACAAAGCATTGATTTTACAAGGAGAAATTTGATGCTGATCACACTTATAAAGGTTTAAGCTGCGTTTACACTTGGTACCCAGGCACGGTGCCCGAGTACGGTACTCGCTGAGCACTAACGTGAACACACCCTTTTTTCGAGTACCCACTCTAGAATTCGGGCACGGTGCGGCCGGTTTGTACTCGGACACAATGGGGAGCTTAAGCAACGAGGACGGCGAAAAAGCAATAGGTTTATATTAGCAAAACAACAACTAAGCATCTGCATGGTGCTTTTTTGTACATTTCTTAGCCGTCGTTGCACGACTACAACGTGAAAGTGCCTCATTTCACGTTTTGTCGAGAACGGGAACACAAGACAACAACTTTCTTTTTCTTTTCTTGAACTTTGATAAAGTCAGGACTTTAGAATTCAACTCAAAAAAAAAATTGCCAACATTTGACGAATGAAACCAGATGGAATAAGCGCGATAAAGTTTGAGGCAGCGCGAATTCACTTTTTAAGTGACGTTTTCGTAGCCGTCGCCGTCGCCGTTCCCTAATAGTGGGCACCGGGTCCCTGTGTGCACACCGTTTAATGTTAGTTCTGGGGTATGTACTTCACTGCTTTGCACTCCTACTATGGCCATGTTTCAAAATGGCGTCTGATAGGATGAAATGGAGTACTTATGTAGACTGTCACATATCGGGTACTCAAGGTGTGAACACAACACCATTTTGTGCGTGGGTACCCAGGCACTGGTTCCCGGGAACAACGTGAGGACAGCACCCCGATTTAGTAACCAACCGCCGTTGCACTGAAAACAAGGTTTTGGTCGGGGTGCTTTTTCTCGCAAGTTGACTAATCTGGTTGTGACAATATAACATCGACCCAGGGGGGGTTTTGTGTCTAGCGGTTTTATTGAAAACAAGGGTTTGTGGGGGTTGCTCAGTCTCGCAGGCTCACAAAACCTTCCTTAGGTCGATCTTATCAGTTTATATTTGCTCACAAATCTGGTTTCAGTCGATCTTATCAAGTGTTTTTCTCGTTACCAGGCTGAATATTCTCCCACATTATTTCGACGTACTGGTCACGATCATAGCGTGACTGCTCGTGCCAGAAACCAGCGGCGTGCATCATTTCATGCATGATGACACCCTGATGGTTACAGCCGTTTCCTAGGGAAATATCCTGGGACCCAGTCTTCCAATAATGTACTCCGACTGAAGAGTAGCACCTGGAGTGGAGATGAAGCAAAGAAAATGTCACCTTCAGGAAACTATTTCAATTTACAATCCAGACCTTGAGATAAGGAGGGCCCGGTCATCCAGACCCTGAAATGGGAAAGGAGGAGGGATGGTCTTCAAAAACGCGTTTTAGGCTTGGTCTATAAATAAGGGGGGGCGCCTCCCCCCCGGGCCCCTCCCCTGGATCCGCCACTGTATTTTGCTACAAGTAACAGGAAGCAAACTCATGCTTGGAATGAAACGTCTACACCAGAAAGAAATAAAGACTGTGAATTTGCGTTTGTTACGATGTGTGATTATGAACTTTGTCAAGAATCGATATCAGCTTGTAGGCCAAATTATTTTAAGGAAACAATGTGCATTCCGTAAAAAATTTGACTGAAACTCGGCTCAGCCTTCTGGTTCTCTCTGGTTTTCAAGCAAAGAACGAATCGATTTCCTACCATGCTTGTTTAAAGTACCAAGAGTGTTCGGATCTCAAGTTCGGATCAGATTAGGTTTCTGAGAAACTGACCACCTACCCCTCCCCTAAGCCAACATTTTGCCCGAAGTGTGAAGTAAGTGTTATGTTAGCTTAGGGGTGGCACAGAATGGACACGTCAGTCATTTGCTAGCTCAAAGTAAACTTACTGGCGCCGCGATTGTAAGACAAAGTAAGTAACTTATTTGACAATACATATAAAAAGAAAAGAAAGGGCAAAGAAGGGAGTATTGACAGAATTGGACATGAATAGACCTTATTCACGATGCCCGCCATCTTTGCACGCGCTTAGGACTGATGGGATAGAAGTGATGTCACGTGGTTTCTCCGGGGGCAAACATGTGATAAATTTTTCCAATACAAGAAATCGCGGTCGAATTTGTTTTTTCTCCACAACAGAAAATGAACAACTTTTTACGTTAAAGACGATATGGCAAATTATGGGTGGAAGTGACCATTTTTACTTTTTTGGATACAGCAGCAACCGTAGATGTCCTCGCAGCAAGCTGTAATGACGTTAATTTTGTCGAAACTCAAACCGTACATTTTTCATGACTATTAACTTGTCGTTTTGTGTTTAGAGAATAAATAAAGTCGACCGTGATCTCACGCATTGGCAAATTTCATCTTTTGTTTGTTCCCTGAAATACCACGTAACATTGGCGGTTTTGGTCAAGCAGGCTCATACCTACACTCCCCTAAGCTAACATTAACACTTACTTCTCAGTTGGGGCAAAATGATAGCTTAGGGGAGGGGTAGGTGGGTAGTTTCCCAGAAACCTAAATTGCTACACTGGATAGTGGTTTGTCCGTTGGATAGCGCTATACAACTTTAGAACACCTGAGGCCAAGCAATACTGGTTATACACACCCCGATTTCTTCACAAAGGTTACCCATCTCTCTTCATTTTCACGAGGCTTCCATGTAATACAGGTATGTTGAGCGAACTGATCAACTGCAGCTTGGATTGTTGAACCATATCCCTCATTCACTGTAATCGGAGA